GCTGCGTCCCCCATCTGGGACTCCCCGACTGAAGCTTAGAGAAACAGGGGTCTGTGTAACTTGTTTGGCCACAAAATCTGCCCAAACAGACGCAGGGCTGTTTATAGGCTCCTCTTCTGTGGAGCTGCAGGCCCACGGTGAGGGGTGCCCGGTCCTGCTGGGGTCCCTCCCGCACGGAAGTCCCTGGAGGGGAGCCCGGCCCTGGTGGAGCGCATGGACGTGGCCTCGCGTCTGCTAGTTCTCCGCCGGCCTCATGTTCTTCCTGTTGGTGCCAAAGCAGGGGAGCCTCACTCCCTTCCCAGAGTGACCGGTGACGCCTGAGCAGGCCTCGGAAGCCTGGGCTCGTGAGCGCCGTGGGACTCGGGTCCCTCCTGCTCCCTGGCCTGGGCCCCGAGGGAGGGGTGTCCCCACCCTGTGGGCTTGAGTCCGGGGCTCAGGGCCTTGGCTGTAGCCTGCTCCCGCTGCCGGGGACGCGGAAGCCTGACTGGCCCTCAGTAGCCCGTGTCCCTGGGCAGCCGCAGGGCTGTAAGCCCACCTTGGTGGCCACAGTCGGGGCTGGGAGGGGGGTCCCCCAAACCCAGGCGTGAATCCTGGCTCACATGGGGACGCAACTCGGCTCAGAAACTGCCACCAAGCTCACTCCCTCCTCAGAGCACCACTGCCACCCGTGTCACGGAGCACAGCATGACATTTCCAAGTGAGTGCTGGCACGCCTGCCGGCTCCGCCTCAGAGGGACTCGAAGCCCCCATCTCAATCCAGGAGGCCTGCACTCTCTCCCAGCCTCCCTTTACTCCAGGGACAAATCCTTCCCTCCTCCTGTCCCCCCCCAACCCACCAGCTACCCACCTTCTATCCACCCGCCACCCACCCCACCTACCCCCCACCCACCCACCCTGCTATCCACCCGCCACCCACCCGCCTGGTGGCCAGTAGGTGCTCAACAATCCTAGTGAGGTAGCGAGGGACGGGCCCCTCAGGCCACCCGTCACAACTTTACGAAGGGGAAACGGAGTCAGCGAGAGCGCGAGGCTCCAGCTGAGGGGGCTCCTGAGCTTTCCTGTCCACTCACTCGGCCACTCTCCAGCTAATGCTCCGAGTGGGCCTAGGTGGCCCAGGTCCTCATGCCGGACAGTGGTGAGGCCATCACCCTCATGGGACTTGAGAGGAAGCCAGGCGTCCACGGTCACCAACGTCAGCCATCGGGGGAAGAGCCGGCAGCCTGCCCGAGGGTCTTGGGCCGAGGGTGCGGGGAAGGGCCTAGAGAGGGGCGCAGGAGGGGAACCTGGCAGCGAGGCTGACCTCTCCCAAAGAACCCGGGGGTGAAGCCAACCGAGGTCAAGAGCACAGGAACTGCTGTCACCTGCTGAGGACAGAGGGGAAGGCAGAGCCTCTGCTGGAGCCACAGAGGACGGCTCGGCAGACATGTGGAGGAAAGGCGAGGGCAGGAGTGGACGGAGAGGAAGGCCGAGGTCCCCGCCTCTGCCCTCTGGGGAGGCAGAGACAAGGGAGCCTGGGAAACGGCGTCTCAGGGCCAAGCGGTGGGCCAGGCGGAGGCCGAGGGACAGGGCACGTGCGGTGGGCCAGGAGGAGGCCGAGGGCAGCTCCGGCCGGTGAGAGGCGCTGCTTCCTCTCTTGCACTGAACACGGGCCCTGCCCCCAGGACCAGCCCCTGCCCAGCCTGCCCCACGCCTTACCTTCCACCAGGACCCCCAGCTGCCCACTGGCTGGGCGGGGACACCATCCACTGTGGCACCTGACCCCCTGCCTCCCGCCTCTCTGGCAGCTTGGCTTCCATGTCCAGTTGGCATTAATGGCTGTGCAGGGTCCAGGGGGCCCATGGACAGTCTTTCTGGAAGCCCACAGGGCGCCCGGCTGGAGTCACAACAGGACACCCAGGCCCGAGCACCTGCCTCCTGCTGCCCCATCCCCCCACACCAGAGGGCACACCCTGGACCCCTGCAAGGTGGACACTGTGTGCTTCCCCTCAGGGCCACAGCGAGAGTCCTCCCTGAGCTGACCTCGGGGTCCGTGGGAAGAAAAGTCGTCAGGAGGAGCTTTCTACGGACGGGTGGGGCACCCGGTCTCCCAATACCAGCCGAACTCCCAGGGGCCACTGAGCTTTGTGCTGGGGTCCTCGTCCTGGCTTTGTGTGGCCTTGGGCTCAGCCCCTCTCAGACGGGGTGGAGGACACACCTCCAAGGCCTCCCGTCCTGGGGAGTCTCGGCCTTGGCAGGAGGAGCCCTGCATTTGCAGGACCCACTGTGCTTGTGGCTCTTCCCTGGACGGTGCCGGATCGGCTGACGGTGGCAGAGGAAGGCGTGGTGGCTCTCCACGGGCACGTGGACGGGAAATGTGCTCAAATGTGGCCGTGAGGTCCGGATCCCATCTATCCACGAGAAGCTGTGCACTCTTGGGCACGCAGCTGAGCTCCTCTGGGCTCTAATTCCCCGTCTGTAAAGTGGACACCCCGCCTGCCCCTATTTGATGGTTCACTGAGGACCTGATGCCGCGAGCGGCGGAGCTGAGGTCACTGCTCACCTGGAGACGCCTGCTGCCCAGGGCCTGGGCCTGGCCCCTTCTCACCCAGCCCCCCAGGAAGGGGTGGGGCGGCCGAGCGCTGTGCCCTGGGACTGTGAGCTACTGTTCCTGGTGAGTGCGGCCTCCAGACGCTGGAATGCACTCGTCAGGCCGGAATTTAAAAATGTGTTTCCCCTTTTGGAGGGAGGGAGGGAGGAAGGGAGGGAGAGAGAGAGAGAGAGAGAGAGAGGCGCTAAGTGTTTCTGGCCTGTGAAAGGAACACAGTTTCAGAGCCAGGACACAGAAACCGCATGTGCTTGCACAACGCAATGAAAACACAGGCCACCAAGCCCGTCCTCTGCAGCCTGCATGGGCTCCAGCTGCCTGCCCAGGTGGGCAAGGGGTGCCCTGCAGAGCCAGCCTGGTGGGCGGGCAGCTGCACAGTTGTGGGGAGTCTGGGAGCAGGGAACCTTGGGAATTCCACGACAGCTGGGGTGTGAAGCGTCTCTCTCTGCACTCAGGTCAACACCCACCCACCGCCCATGAGCAGTCCTACCCCGGGGTGTGCACCCCGCAGACAGGCATTGTGTTTTCAGCAGAGGATACCCCAGAATGTTCAGGAAAACACTCCACGTTGACTCAAACAGAAACCACCCAGAGCCCCCAGCCCAAGTTATGGCATATCCATCAAAGGACTACTGCACAGCAATGAAAAAGAACTGAGTGCAGCCGACCCCACACGAGGAAGAGGCCGGGGCAGCTCAGCGGGGAGCACGCACACTTCCGCTCGTGGAGCCTGAGGTGCTGCGGGAGCAGAGCAAGCCAGGCACAGGCGGCCACGTGTCGGACTGTGCTGCCCCTAACTGCCCAGCTCCGCAGAGCTAGGGGCAGAAGGAGAGGGAGTGGAGCCGGGGTTGGGGGCGATGGGGGTGGGGCGAGGCTGAGGGTCTAAAATGACAGGGGGGCGGGGCGCTCAGGCCTGCGGGCCACGTCCCAGGGACGTCCCAGCAGGCTGCGAAGGATCGAGGCGACCCCGGAGCCTGGGGTCTGGCTGTGAGGCGGCCCTGGCTCAGGCCTCGGGCACCCAGGGGGCTTCTGAGGCTGGCACGCTCTCCCGGGGGCTGGTCCCAGCTGTGCTGGGTGGTGTGAGCAGCACACTGTCACGAGGCCCACTTTGGTAAGGGTCTCCCCAGCTCAGCAGCCCAGGGCAGGGCTAGACGCCCGCATTGGGCCCACCGCATGTCCCCATCAGCGAGAGCAGCAGAGCCGAGAAGGCCGGGCAGGCGGCGGGCAGCGGGTTGGACCAGGCCTCCTGACTCCCGGGAACAGCTGCAAACAATCAGGAGCTGCTGCCTCCCTCCCAGCCCCCCGAGAGCCAGCGCGGAGACCTGCAGCAGCCCACTGAGAGCCCTGGGGGACCTGGGCCAGGGGGGCGGCGGCCGTGGAGCCTAGCAGAGCTCAGAGGTGGCCAGCAAGCCCTGACCATTGGCCCCGTTGGCAGGGCCCAGTCAGGTACAAGGACCGGGCAGGGGCAGGGAGGCTGGCCTGCAGGCCAGCAGCTCAGCACACAGCTGGCGGGTGAGAGGGCGCCCTGCCAGACTCTGGGTCTGACTCCAACTCTGACACCTCTGAGCTCTGCAGCCTCGGGGACCTGGGTCCACTGCCCAGGCCCGGTGCCCTTCTCGGAGAAGTGTACAGCAAGGTGCCTGGTTTTAGGTGTTGTAGGGCCTGAATGAGTTGAAGCTCTGGACACGGCACTGGGCGTTTTGACTGTCCCCAGATGTGAGCCACAGACCGCAGGCCGGCTCATTTAAGTGCTTACTGTATGCCAGGCCCCCTCGAGGCTCTCGGATTCGCTCCCGCTGCCGGCAGCTGTCTCCCCTGCACCCCCACCCAGGCCCACCTTTGCCAGAATCCTCCGTGGCCAGGAAGCTTGGGGACCAGCCACCTCCGTGCCTGCTGGGGATTTTCTGCTGCTGGCTCGTGGTCAGCCAAGGAGCCGGCGGCAGGGAGCCTCTGAGCACAGGGAGGATTTATGTGCAGTGTTTGTCCCCGTCCCCTGGCAGGTCAGCTCTGGGGATCGTTTATCAAAGGGGTTTTATGAGGCCTTGAAGTTCACAGCAACGAGATTGGGGGTGGGGGGGCTGGCGTCTGCAGGAGGGGACCCTGGGCTGCTCGCTCCCGGGGCCTTTGTCGGGTCAGGGGGACAAGGCCAGGTTCCAGGGCACCTGGTTCTGCTCAGTCTGTCCCCAAGCTCTGACCCTTCTCTGTGTCATGCGGCTGTGGTCTTGCAACAAGGCCCGTCCAGCTTACAGAAGGTTTCAGCTGAGTCCCTCCAGGCCCCAGAGGTGAAAGGCCCCTCCTCCACTGAGACCCGGGGGCGGAGGCGGGCGGTCGAATGTGCTGTCTGTGTTTAACGAATTAGCACAACGGGTGTCCACCGGCCCTGAGCGAGGCCCTGTCCCTCAGACCGTCTCCCCCCCGCCACACGCACAGGGCCTCCCCTCAGGCCTCCACCTATCCTGTGCCCCACGAGCCAACGGATGCAAAACGCTCAGAGGTCCAAGGCCTCCATAAATCCCAGGGACTTTTTTTTTTATTATTATTAATGGTTCCATTCTTTCCCCCCGAGAAGGAGGGGACATCTTTGCCTGTGGCCTGGCATATCTGAGGCTCTTCCTGAGGGTGGCAGAGAACTGCTTGCTCCATTCTTAGGCAAGAAGAAGAGAAGAAAGGGAAATAGGGCGGCCAGATGATGAATTCTGTTTTTCTGGTCCCCCGGGAGCCAGAGGCCAGACACGCACACACGGCCTCCCTGGGAGTTGGGGCAGGAGGGACCCGCCAGGGAGGTGACTGGCTCCCGAGAGGGAGGCCAAGGTGCAGGCGCAGCGTGGAGGGGGCAAGAGGGCAACACCCTGGTGAGAAGGGGGAGGCCAAGGTGCAGGCACAGGGTCGAGGGGTGAGGTCAGCCGGGGCAGGTGGAGGCCGGCTTGGAGAGCTGGCTCCCAGGTGTGAGGGACGGAGCCTGGAAGCACTTGGGGTCAGAGCAGTCTGGCTCCCTCGTCCTTGCATGGACTGGACCCCAGCCACGTCCCCGGCCCCGTGAGCCCGGGACAGCGCAAGGCCAGCCTGCTCGGGCTTCGCCTCCTCGGGACACGTGCTGGGAGCTGGAGGCGACTCGCCGCCGGCCAGGGCACGGCCACAGGCAGCTGCCAGTCTGAGATGCGCCTGGAGGTTCCCGGCTGGTGGCCTCTGGCCTCCTGCAGACTCGAGTGGCCTGTTGTTCCGCTCCCAAGGCGGCGCTGCTGGTGGGCAGTGCGGATGCTCTCTGGGTTCCAGGACCGATGACCCAGCCGTGGGCAGTGGGCAAGGAGGTGGCTCTGCTGGGGACAGGGGCTGAGGCTCCGGCAGCCCTGGGCGGGCACGTATGGACGGCTTCTGTTTGAAAGGGGAGCTGGGTCCACGGTGGCCCGCGTGGCGCTGCAGGGGGCCCTGAGTTTCCATCTCCTCTGGTGTCATCCAGCTGGGTCCCACAGGCCCTGCCAGGTCCTCAGTGCCCTCTGCTGTGAAACTGGGACACGCAGAGGAGGAGGTGGGTGAGACTCCAGGTTGTCCCTGTCCCTCAAGCTGGGTTCAAGGGGAAGTAACTTACAGTTAGCAAAACCAGGGGGTCACGTGGACACTCGGCTGGGGCTCCAGACCTAGCTGCACCATGCTGCGTGCTCTTGGGCCAGTGTCTTCCCTTCTCTGTGCCTGGGTTTTTATGCTGGAAACTGGGGGTGTAATAGAACTACCCCATAGGCTTGGGAAGATCTGGGGAGTTGGTGCCTACAACCTCCCATGCCCAGGAGCCAGGCTCCTGTGTGGTTGTCATGTACTGTGCGTTGGGACTGTCATTGCCATACCCAAAGAATGGGCTGCTTCTGGACTCTCTGTTCTTCTTTCCCCAACCCTACAAAGGGTGTTGTTTAGTTGTTCCTGTTTTCCACATGGAGGCTCCGAGAGGTTAAGAAGCAGGCCAAGGCCACACAGCTAGTAAACAGTGGAGCGGGGATGTCAGTCAGATGTGTCTGGCTGTGTCCTGCCCTGTGCCACCCACCCACAGATGACCCACGGCATCACCTGCCTCTCCCTGCCCTTATCTGTGCCAAGGGACTGTTCCCAGTCATTGGGCTGGTGAGGAAAACAAACACCAGCCGCACACTCCCACTCCCCACGCCCAGCCCGTGCACGGGCCCACGCACACACTCACAGCTGCACGTACACGCAAACACATGCACACACACTGCACCCAGCCACACACTTGAACACGTGTGCACACAGCACACACAGGTAGGCATGAGTGCACGCGGAGCACGTGTGAGTGCCACACACTGGTGCTCATGTGCTCCGACATGGCGCACGCTGGCACACACTCAGGAAGCTCTCCCCGCGTGGCCAAGGGAGCCCTGGCTCCTGGTTTTTTATCCTGCTGACCCCGTGGCCCTCCTCAGGCTCAGGCGTGACCGTGGTCAGAGTGGCCCCTGGCCCTGGAGTGCCAACAGGCGGCAGAACCTCCTCACTCGTTGTTAGAGCCAGGGAGGGGCAGGACCTGCACACATGGTCACGGGGAGCCCCAGCCCTGGCCAGGGGGTCATTCTCTACCTCACTTGGTCTACACAGAAAGACTCCACGAGGAGGAATCATGAGCCCATTGCACAGAGAAGAACACTGAGGCTCAGTGAGCCGGGGGTCCGCCCAGGGTGCACAGCCGGCCCATGGTGGACCAGAGCAGCCCTGGACACGCAGTGAGCAAGACAGACCGGTGCTGCCCTCAGGAGGAGCACCCAGGCTCAGGGGGGAGTGCGGGGAGCAGACAGGGAGCGCTGGCTGGCAATCCCATGCCCAGGAGCCAGGCCGAGCTAGCAGGGGCCTGCTGGGAGAGGACAGGGAGGCCTTGGAATGACGCTGAGGCCAGGGCCCTGGAGGGGCACAGCCGGGGTTTCCAGGACCAGCACTGCTTCCCCCAACCTTTCCATCTGTGTGGGACCCGACAGGCCCTTCAACCAGAAGGCGATTAAACAGACGTCACCCTTTAAAGTCCTCCTGATCAGTCCCCCTGGGGTATTAAAAGTGCCAGGAGCCAGGAAGCCCCGCCCGCCCGCATTCCTTCCCACAGTGTGCTGACCCAGCACTTTCCTGGGCCGGGTTGGGGCTGAGCCTCATCCCATCTCAGGCCTGATGGCCTTCCTGTCAGTCCCTGGGCTGGGAGCCCTGGAATATCCACCAGGGATTCCCGGGAGGGGGCCCTTTTGTCTTCTTCCATTTATTTATAATGCATGGGCCTCCTCGTGCCAAGAGGAAGCCCAGTTTTATTTACATGTCAGCACCCCAGAGGGTGGAGGGGCTCACCCGCCACCTTTGTCCCCAGCCGACTCTGGGTTCCAGCTGGCCGGTCAGGACAGTGGTAAACTGCTGGGAAATCAGAGACGCGTTAGATGAGCTGGAGGGCTTTCGTTTCTCAGACGGGAAACGTGAGGTCCAGGGGGGCCCTGATCTGCCCAGGCCTGCAGCCTGATCCTGAGCATCAGGGCCGGGGGCCGACGGGGAGTCCTGGTTGTGTCCCCTGCTGTGGATACTTTCCATGGTGGACTGCGCCTGCCTGGTACAAGCCCGTGGTGGGGGGCAGTGGCTGGAGATGGCCTGCCTGAGTCTGAGTCCCACTGGGTGTCCTCTGAGGAGTAACTGGGCCCACTGCCTCTTCCTTCCCCTCTGGAGAACGGGGCTGCTCAGGCAGGCGATGCAGTTAGTGGGGGGGGGGGCAGGAAGTGCTTCTACAGTGCAGCGGCCCTAGTCTCCCTGTGTCAAGTACAGTGTACCTCCCCCCCAAAAAAAAGGTGCAGAGGAACTCTGCTGCAGCTGGTTATCAGGAGGAGGGTAGGGCCCAGAGAGGTGGAGCCTCTTGCCCTGGGCCACCCTTTCCATCTCTGCTGATGACCAGGTGGCCTCTGGCCCGCAGTGTGGAGGGGAGGGGAGTGCGGGTGAGGACTCTGTCCCCAGGATGATGAGTTGCAGGAGACAGGGGACAACTCCTCTCTGTCTACAAAATCAGGGCACTGGCCCCGAGAGGTGCCCCCAACCCAGGGCAGCTCAGGACTCCAAGTTAGACCAGGGAGGGGACAGGCCGCCCGGAGCTGCCCTTCCTCCGCTGCTCCGCGGCGTCCTTACCTGGCTCCTCCCGCGTCCTGCTTGACCTTTCCTGAAAGACCAGCTTCAGCCGCTGATGGTTTTGGCGGGTCCCCGAGGAGACCCTTCAGACGGCTGGAGCCGCGCGCGCCGGAGAGAGCCCCTAATTGGGGCGATGAATCATCGCGCGCGCTCGGGGCCGGACACAGAATAGATAGAGGAGCCCGCGAGCCATTGTGCGCAGTTTGGGACGCGGGAGGGGGAGGGGAGGAGCGCGGAGGGCTTCCCCCGCCCTCCGCCCGCGCGCCGCCCCGCCTCCTCCTCCCCAATTAAATGACCCAGCGCGTTGGCAGGCGCCGGAGCTCGCACATGCGGCCGCCGCTCCAGCCGCCCGGGGCCCGCCGCCGCCGCCAACGCCGCCGCCGCGTTCCGGGCGCGCTCGCCGGCGCCGCCTGGGCCCGCGCCGCCGCCGGGGGCTCGGCAGGCCCGGGGGGCGGCGCAGCGATCGGCCCCGCGCCCCGGCCCGCGCCGGCCGCCCGCCGCCAAACTTTGCGGCGCGCACACATGCTCCGAGTTGGGCGCGGCGGCGGGCGCTAGGGCGCGGCCATGAGCGGGCGGCCGGCGCCGCTCTCCCGCAAGCAGCGGCTCATGGCAGCCGTGGGCGAGCGGGCGGCGGGCGGCGGCGCGGCGCTCTCGTGCTTCATCTGCGGCGGCGGCATCGGGCGCGGCAAGGAGCTGAAGCTGCAGGTGAAGGAGCCGGCGGCGGGCGCGGGGGCCCCGGCGCAGCCCTTCTTCCCGTTCCTGCAGCAGCAGGAGCCGGCGCCCGGCGCGCGCGAGCTGTCCCCGGCCGACGGCTGCGTGCTGGTCTGCGCCGTGTGCCGCTGCTTCCTGGGCGAGCAGTGGGCCGCCTTCGAGCGCGCGCGCACGCCGGTGGACAAGCGCATGTACTGGCTCAAGCGGCCCCACCAGTGCGACGCGGGCGCCAGCGGGCGCCGCGGGGGCGCCGGAGCCCCCCGCGAGTGGAACGTCGCCTACGCGCTGGGCAGCGCCGCCGGGGACGACGACGACGACGGCGGCGGCCCGGGGCCCCGCGCGGCGGCCGAGGACACTCGAGACTCCGAGCTGTCGGAGCTGTCGGACACCGACCCCCTGTCCGATCCCGACCCGGCCGCGCGCGACGCCAGCAGTCCCCTGCAGGACGCGCCGCCTGCGCGCCGGCCCACGCCGGGGGCCGGGCCTCGCGGGGGCCGCTGCCAGGAGGGGAGGCCGGCGCCGGGACCCGCTCCGGGACAGGACTCAGAGCCCCCTGCGCAGGGGGATATGGAGGAGGGGATCTCCTCGAAGCTCCACGCCGATGTGGAGCCCAAGACCGGAGTCAGGCGCCGGAGAAAGGGCGTTGGAAGGCACTGGGCTCCTGAACCCCGGGCCAGCGTCCTGAGGGGCATTCCTGGTCTTTGGCAAGGCCCTCTGAGCCAGGCAGCCCCTGCAGATGGCATGAAAGAAGTTCACTTGGGCAAGGCCACCAAGCCCCAGGAGAGCAGGCCCCCCGGGGACACCCTCCGGGGTTACTGCACATCCGAAGACAGTGACATCAACATCACCAGCGAGGAAGAGGACCACAAGGAGCAGCCGGTCCCAGGGCCCGGAGAGAAGGACAGTAGTGGTGGTGTCCTTCGGGCTCCTCTGGAGAGCCAGGCTGTGCCACCAGAGGGCCTTTGCTGCTACATCTGTGGGTCAGTGCTGTCCCCCGCCTCCCAGCGCCAGATCCACGTGCAGAAGCAGGAGAAGCTGGCTCAGGCGCCCTTCTTCCCCTTCCTCTGGCTGCACAGCCCGCCCCCCGGGGCCCAGCCCATCAGCCCGGCGGGCAGCACCCTGGTGTGCTCCTGCTGCTTCTCTTCCCTCACGCAGCAGTGGCAGAGCTTCGAGCTGGCCAGCGTGCCTGTCCTGCAGCGGCTCTACGTGGTGCCCCTGAACAGCCACGCCCCCGGCATGGCCTCCAAGGGCAGGAGGCTCCCCAGGGAGGAGGGCCCCCCCGCCAGGGCCCTGCAGGAGGCCTGCTACCTCTGCGGGGAGGACTGTACCCAGGATGCCCGGGCAGTGCCCTCCAGGGCCCTCAACGGCAGCGCCAGGAGCGCCATGCATTTCCCCTTCCTCAGCCTCCTGCCCTGCCCGCCCAACGCCCGGGCCCCCAACAAGCGCTGTGAGGTGCGCAGCTGCCCCAAGTGCTTCAGCGTCCTGGAGGACGTCTGGGCCCTGTACCGGGCCTGCCAGAACCAGGAGCTCATCACCTCCGTGCAGGGCTTCCTGGGCAGGTACCACCAGGCCTTCTCCGCCTCCGACCCTGCCGTCGGCGAGCTGCCCGCCTCTGCCCACGGCGGCCCGGCGTCCGTCTGCTACATCTGCGGGGCAGAACTGGGCCCCGGGAAGGAGTTCCAGCTCAACGTGAACCCCGCCAGCCGCCTGGGCGAGAAGGAACCCTTCTTCCCCTTCCTCACCGTCTACCCGCCCGCCCCGCGAGCCAGGCCGGCGGACGCCACTGGTCTGGTGGCCGCCTGTGTGCTCTGCTACCATGACCTGCTGGGTCAGTGGCTGCAGCACGAGGCCCGAGGTGCCCAGCACGCCGTCAGCGCCTGGGCTCGGCAGTACCAGGTGGAGACCTTCGTGTGCTTCTTCTGCCAGCAGGAGAAGAGGCGCTGCCTGGAGCTGAGGCCCGTGCGGGTGGCCAGGCTGCCCTTGTTCCTCTACACCCTGCGAGCCAGCCACAGCCTGCTGGTGGACGACGGGCGGCAGCTCATCATCGGGGCCTGCGTGGACTGTGGGACCCTGGTGTGCGCCGGTCAAGGGCTCACCCGCCAGGGACCCTCGGGCTGGAGCTCCCCGGTGGCGGCAGCGACGAAGGTAAGCTGCAGTTTCCGCCGGGTCTGGGACCTTTCCCGAGACGCACGAGGGGACGGGAGGTGTTTTCTGTTCCTCCGAAGAACCCCCGGGCTTCCCTGGTGCTGTGTGGGTGGTGCCCTCCCTGGGTCACTGAGCCTGCTCTTGGGGTTACCTTGGCCTGGCGTGGGCAGGTCAGGAGCGGGGCTCAGGAGGGCTTAGAAGAATCGGGCACTGCTAGCCAGGGCAGGCAGGGGCCGGGCCTGGCTGTGTTTGGGGCGGAATCTGTCAAGCGGAGGAAGTCGGGGGCACGTCTGTCGCCCGCCTGATAACATTGGTAGCGAGTGCGGCCCTGCGGGTCACGGAGAGGTCTTGTACTCGCGGGTTTGAAACACTGCAGGGAAGTTCCTCTCTGGCTGCAGTTTTTCACCCAAGTTCACCCCGTTCATTGGAGACGTTCTGGTTGCTTAGCGGCAGATGGCAACTGGTTCCCAGACGCAGGGGCAGGATTTGGGGGACAGTGGCCTGAACAGGCCTTTCCCCGGGGGGAAGAGCCTTCTCTGCGAGCCAGAGAGGAGTCTCCCTGCCCTCGCTCCTTCCTCTTGCTGCCCCCGCCCCCGCCCCGCGCCACACGGGCTCAGAGAACCCTGGATCCTGCTTTTCAGAGACCGGCCCCCGGGTCCGAGGAGGTAGAGGTCTGTGGCAGTCACCGTCCTGGCCACGGGCCATGGGTCCTCCTTTCTACCAGAGAGTTAGAGCAGCGTGTGTGGGTCAAAGTCTGTAGCAGGAGCCGCTGGCCAAGGGCTGGCCAAGGGACCGGGGTGGGTGAGGAGTGCGGGCCCTGCGTGGAAGTGACCTGATCTGCCTCGTCCTGACCTGTGCTGCGGGTGAGGTGCCCAGGATGTGCCCATGCATGGTGACCGCGTCCGTGAGGTGGGCCCCGTGGGCCTTGGTGCACTCCCGGGGCAGCCCGTGCCTGTGTCCTGCGCCTGTGTCCTGCTCCTGACAGCTCTGGGCGAGAGCACAGCCCCTCGCTTCAGCGGGACCAGCATGTCGTCCGCCCTGGGTGCTGAGCCCGGCCATCCAGCCTGGCTGGGGCTCCCAGAGGGCAGGCCCTGGGCAAGCTGGGCTTGGGCAGCCCAGGTCCTGGCCCAGCCCTGCCCCTTTCTGGAACTGAGCCGCCTGCACTGAGGTTCTTCTCCTGGTGGCCCGTCGGTCTCCCTGGCTGGGAGGTGGAACTGGGCACCGGGACTTGTAGGGACGTGGTGAGGATGGAACCTGTTGGGGACGGTGACGTGCCCGGGTCCAGGATGTGCCACATTGTGGCCCCACAGACCCCTGTGTGTGGGCCGGCTCTAGGGTGCTGTCGTGTCCTGGTGCCAGGCTCCTGGCCTGGGCGCTGCTGGTTTTAGCCTGACTGTGGTGAGAGGCGCACCAGGCTCCGCGCGTCCCCACGGGTGGCCTGCTGACTCTCTCTGCTCAGGGGTCTGTGAGGTGGGCTGTGGGCCTGAGTGACAGGGACCCGGGTGATGAGACGCTGCCCTCCCCAGGCCGGCCGTGGGAGCTGGGAGCAGCCCGGGGTCCACCTGGAAAGTGGCCGGTGCCATTCCCAATGCGCATGGTCGCCTCTGCCGTCCCCCTGCCCAGGAGCCTCGGGGTTCTCCTTCCATAGAAGAAATCGAGGCCGGTGCCCTTGGTGACGACCTGAGCCCCTGAGCCTGTCAGTCCGCCTGGGAGGGGCCTGGGCAGCGTAGGGGGGTTGCTGAGCAGGGTACTTGGCAGGAAGTGGGGAGGCTGGGAAGAGGCCGCAGCCTCCCGGCCAGAGCCTCTCCAGGAAGGGGACAGGCCTGGGGGTCCAAGGCCCAGGGGCAGCGGTGACCTTTTGAACGAAGGAATGGAAGAGAGCCCACCCGCCTGGAGGCCACAGTCTGTTGGCAGCCCGCGTCTGGCTGCGGGGAGGGGGTGGCTCTTGGGTCTCAGGCGACACCCCAGGGTGCAGGGACCGAGCCTGTGGGATCCGGAAGTGCAGGCTCTGTCCAGGTGCTGCACGTCCTGGGGCGGGGGACAGAAGGGCACCCAGGGCCCCGGGGCTGTCAGCACCACGTGACCCGGGGGAGGGGAGGGGGCTCGGCACCACTGTCAGGACAGGCAGAGGAGGGCTGTCCCCAGGGGCCACCTGACGCCACCCCGGGTCCTTGGGTCTCGCAGTTCCCCTTTCTTTCCTGGGTGGGTGGTGTGAGAACTGGGGAGGAGGAGCAAGGGTGTGAAGGGAGCCCCAGGAGGACCCCTGGGGACACGGCATGTTCCAGAACCTTGCTCTGTGCCGCCTCCGGGACTCCTGTGCTCGCTCAGGAGAGAATCCGCTGTGGAGCAGTGAAGGAGACCTTTAAAACCAAGAACGAGGGAAGGAGGCGTCCCCTGGGTGGGCAGGTGCAGCCCTCCGCTCTAGCTGGACTCCGTCCCTGGAGGGCACTGTGCTTCCTGTGTGGGTGGGCAGTGCCCGGGCTGGGCAGGGGAGGGTGCAGCTGCCCTCTCTGGGCCTGGACCTCCTACCCAAGGAGGATTCCCAGTACTCTGAAGACCTGTGAAGCCCCGGAAAGGCCCAGGTTTGCCTGGAGACAGGCCCGACTCAGATCGTCATGGAGCAGGCTGTGTGACCTTGGGTAAGACTCTTGACCTCTCTGAGGCTCTGGCTGAGAAGTGGGGTGTTGTTTTTCTCTGGCAGGTTTATGGTGGGAACCAGGCAAGGTGGGCTGGTGCGGGTGCCCGCCTTGTAGTTGGATGCGTGTCTTGCTGCTGTTCAGGGGCCTGAGTAGGCACCCTGCCCCCTGCCTTCGCTGTTGCTGGGAACCCTTGTCCCTCCCATCAGGCTAGAGGCAGCACTGCCAGGCTGCTGGATGGCACCTGGGGACATACAAATGAGGACGATGCTTCCCCAGCTCCGGCCTATCCTGTGCTCCCTGTGTCCACACACGCAGCCTCCTCACACAGCGCTGTGGAGGTCGGGGCCGCTATCCCAGCCTCTAAGTGAGAAACAAGTTCAGAGAGGCTAAGTAATGTGCCCGACGTCACTCAGCGGGTAACAGCAGGTGCAGGACGGGGCTGGGAGTCTGGCTGGACTCTCCCCTGTCCTGCCTTCCTGGGCTCCGGCTGTGAAGGGAGCCGTGCTGGAGAGGGCCCAGTGTGGACCCCTCCCCAGCCACTGGCAGAGGCCACGGGCTGCCCGCCTGCCCCCAGCCCCGGGTGACAGTGGTGCCCTCTGCCTTCACCCCTCCTCCCTGACACGCCAGGTGCCGTGGCCTTGGCCAGGACTCGGGAGGCTCACTCCGGGCAGAGGTGGGCTCTCCCTGGACGGACCCTCTCTCCCTGTGGGCTGGTTGGTGAGCAGGCCGCCCTGCCCTCCTCCAGGGCCGCCTGAGCAGCGCTCTGGTTAATGGACGTGCGGCTGTTTCCCAGCGGTACCGGGGAGCCCTGGGGTGGCCTCCCAGCGCAGGACGGTGGCTGCCCCGGCCTCCTCCTCAACGCTCCCAGGGGCACCCGAGGCCTGCGTGCGGCTGTCATGGCCGCCCGTCTCCCCGCTCCTGGTCTGCACCCACGGGGCCCTGCTCTTCAGGGAGACCCTGTGGCTCCTCCCACCAGCACCAGGACCCTTTGGAGGGAGAACCTTCTGGAAGGTGCCAGGGCAGGCAGCTGGGCAGTGCTGGGCTCGGGCCTCGGGCCTCTTCCTGGCAGAGTGGAGGCCGTCTGCTCGGAGGAGGGAGCCGAGCGCGGTGCCCTGGGCTGTCCTGGGGGAGACGGGAGGGCAGGGTCTCCCAGTGTGGCCCTCCCTGGAGCCCGCGGGCGGGGGACGCGGCCGGGGCACAGAGCTTCCCGGCCCCTCGCGTGGGCTCTGGGGACCACCCTCGCGGGGCGGCTCGGCTGAGGGTCTTGGGGTGTTTCTTGGTGGCACGTTTTCCGGGCTGGGGAAGATCCCGGAGATCCTCTGCCTCGGGTTCGTGTCTGGGAGGGGACAGCGCCACGGCAGGCACTTCTGTCTTCAAGAAAGGACATCTCGGGACTCGCCTTCCGTTTCCCGCGATGCCCTGAGTAGGACCCGGCAGGCCTTCGGGGGCAGGTGGGGAAGGAGCCCTGCGCCCCGTGTGGCCGCGTGACGTCAGGGGCCGTGTGACTTCAGGGGCGGCGTGACGTCAGGCTGTCGTGCTGTTAGGAAGGGCTCCGGGGCTGCGTCTGGACTTGCTGGGACAATGACCGTGGTCTGCCAGCAGCCTCTGAGTCAGAAAGGGAGCCTTCTGGGGTCTCAGGGTGCCACGCCGGGCGCGGGACACCACGAGCCTGCGTCCCGTGGAGGGTGGACTTGGAGGGGGGTCAGGAAGGATCCGCAGACCCTCACCTTGAGACGCCGCGCCCCGACTTCTTCCTCTCTGTGACGGCTGTGTTTTGGGGCAGGTGGACCCGCACCTTGTGGGTTTGTTTTTACCGGGTGCCGGGGACCGAGCCCAGGACCGCCGAGCCCAGCCCAGCCCGTCACCGCGGCGTCTTGCTGCCTCTGCCGGTTGAGCTTTGGTGACCCAGGCTGCTCAGAGGTGCTGACGGACAGGCCGGCAGCCGCTGCCACCCTGCCTCCTGTCCCCATCAGGGCTGCCCCGTCCACGGGTGCCCTGACACATGCTCGGATGGTGTCCCTGGCCCAGCAGGCGCTCAGGTCTGGGCGCCGTGGCACCCGGTGCTCAGGGTGGGGAGTTGCGGTGAGGGCTGAGGGTCACGCAGGGGTCTGCTGGGGCCCGTGGGAGGACGTGGCGTGTCCAGGGAGGCCACCTGGAGGTCCAGCGGCTGAGTCCTGAACTGCAGAGGCCTGGGCTCCAGGCTGGAGATGCCGAGGGCAGGCCCAGCCCCGGGCGCTGTGTGGCCCTTGGATGTGCCCCTCAATCCACCTCAATCCACGCGGATTAAAGGCCCGTGATGGGCCCTGCCCTGCCCAGTCCTGTCCTAAGGGGGGGCCTGGGTGCGGTGTTTTTAAGCTTCTA